GATTAGATTTTGGTGGTCAAAGGTCAGGGTGATTTCACACTGTTGGAACGCCCAGAGGGAATTTTATAACATCTGGCACAAGTACTTACTGTCATACTGAAACTACATGAAGTACTTTTACTGTGTTACTGTAACTACATGAAGTACTTTTACTGCCATACTGTAACTACATGAAGTACTTTTATAGCTTGAAGTACTTTTTTCTGATTCTCCTTTTTTACTTGTAGGTAGGTACGTAGGTTGGTCGATGGATGGATGGATGGATGGATGGATGGATGGATAGATAGATAGATAGATAGATAGATAGATAATAATTCCTTTATTTATATAGCACCTTTGAAAAAAAAGGGTTTACAGAGTGCTTTGACATAAAAGCACAAACATACAAGAGAACAAGGGCAGAAGAACCCAAACAACAGCGTCATATAAACCCATAAGAGCCCAAGCAAGCAACCCAAACACAAGAACCCAACAACATAAATTGAGACCAGGAGAACCAAAGTAAGATGTAGGATGATGTAAGCAATTAAAGGGAAGAGGAATAATAAAAGGGGTATAGGCACTAAAACAACATAAAGCAACAGAATGAGATAAAAATAATTAATACAAATAAGGGCATAAAGGGGTAAAAACAGTAAGAACAGTGCATTAAAATAAGGTAAAGAAGCGATAAAGGGAATAAAAACAAATAGAAACATAAAAAACATTTGTAAAGAGATAGAACAAAAGGAATAAAAAAGAGATAATAAGGATAAATGAAAGCCATGAAAGCCATAAAAAAAATAAAAGGAAATAAAAGCAATACAAAGAAATTGAGGATGTTAGGCGCTAGCACAGAGCTGCCCAGTTTGTTTGGGTGGACTCCATCGGTCCTGTAAAAAGAAAAACAAAAACAGATTAAAATTGTCAATAAAACCGAAATTGTGAGCACAGCAGGTGGACTGGAGCCAGGTGTTGAGATTGAGGTTTCCGCAGCTTTTTAAAAGGCTAAACTGGTCATTAAAGTCCTTTTTTGTCAGCTCAGATTGCCAACGAGCCATGTCATTACAGCCCACATGGACTAGCACCCGGTTTATGGAGGATGGGAGCAACTGCAATAGCCCAGGTAGTTTGTCCAGAATGACTTGGACTGTGGCTCAGGGAAAGCAGTGTGTGGAGGCATTGAATAAGTGAATGTTCCTGGTAATGCTATCATCCACAACCAAAATGATAGGGGCATAGAGGAGACAAGGAGAGGGGGGATAGGGGGACTCACAGTCGGAAGGTGCACAGTCTGCATTGCGTCGCCAGGAAGGCAAGTGTGGCGAGCCAGTGGCATCGGAACTGGGAGGAGGATTCCCCGCTGGGTCTGAGCGAGGGAGCCCTCCAGATCGTTGGAGCACAGCCTACTTCAGAATCCTGTGCCACCATCAGCACTGTCAGCTACCAGCAGAGGTTGGTAGGCGCTGTGGATGTGTCCTGGTCCAGGAAGAGGCGCAGGGGTATCAGATGGGTGGACCGGGTTGTCATCTGCTAAGGCGGCAAAGCGATTGGAGAGGCTCAAGCAAGGGGGAGAGGTGATCCCGTACAAGCCCCTCTTGCAGCCACAGACTACCACCTCAGCCCAGGTTGACCCATGGTTGGAAGGTGGCGGGGTCCCACGCCACTGTGTCCTGGAAGGCTGAGCTGAGCTTTTTGGACTGTCCGTACGCCAAATCCAGGTAGCTGGACAGTAGGGAGTCCTTCTTCTGAAGTTCCTCGAAGAGCCGACTGATGTCTTCTTTCAAGTCAGCACTCTCTTTATTGGCTTTAAGTAGCATTGCGCTGCCATCGCTGGGCATAGTTGGCTTAAAAGTGACTGGCTAGCTTAGTTGCTAGGCTAAGAACAAACTTTGCTGTGCTAGCAACAGTCCCAGTGTTGATGTCCCCCTCACTGGTAGAGCCGTGCTTTCTCACTATATTCCCCAAAAATACCAGAAGTTAGACAACAAAGCGAGTGAGCTTCCTCTTACATTAAGCTCCCATTGGAGCAGATGTCTAAGATTTGTCCAAATCTTACGCATGAGTTAGACCAGAGCCATAGACAGACAGACAGACAGACAGACAGACAGACATGTTTTTGGCCATAACCAACACATTCATTCACTAATTATGACACAGTTTAACTCAAATGTCTATAAGGATAAAATGAAGTGATGACATTTTATATCCAAAAGGTCAAAGGTCAACTTCACTGTGACATCATAATGTTCTACAAAATCACCTCTGGTCATTATTCAATGCTGTAACTCAGGAAGGAGAGACTTTGACCACATTTCCTGATACTTGGCTCTTTGGTGAAGGGATACAAAAAAGTGTTATTTCAAGTATAAGAGAGAAAGAAAATAAAGTACAATGCCAGGAGGTGTCGGAGGGGAAAAAAACAATCATTTTTTACCTCAAGTTAATATCATTTAATAATTAATTAATGTGACTCTGGCTCTGTCTCTCACTCTCACAAACAAATCTCACATCAAAGCCGAAAAGCCTCTTCTTCATGAAAACATAAAGATGAACTAGATGGTCTCAGGTCAAAGTCTAAACATCAGGCCTCTTTACAGTACTGATGTTCTGTTTGTATGCAGCACTCTGACCTCTGAGTTTCTGAAATATCTGTAGTCGTCACACAGCAGCAGGAATCATACAAGCATCTTCATGTTAACAGGGCTGTGCACATTTCTACCCATGTGGCACAGCAGCAGTAACTGTAAATGGCCAAATTGTTTCTTCTGAACAGACAAATTTATTATTACTGGGAACTTTCAGATTTGCTGCTTTAAGTGTTAATATTTGTAGTATTGGTATTATTGTATAGACAGACATGTTTCTATATACTGAACTGAATAGCAGATAATAAGAATGAAACCAGGTTCTGACCACCACACGTATCATGAAATCTCCAGGGCTAGGTAGAGTTTAAAGAAAGACAGAAGTTCATTTTTAAATGTACGTTGCACATGTCTCTGACAATGACCTTCTCGTTCTCACTGAGGTTTTCATCATAATCCTGTGAGCTCTGCCTGGCCAGCCTCTCATGGACATCCAGCACCTACACACGCACACACACACACATACACACACACAGAACCACACACACACACACACACACACACACACACACACAAGGAGCCGCACAGGCTGCTTAGTAAAAGCTTTAGCTTATATTTGCCACTAGAGGGCAGGAAGTGTTTAATGCTGCCACTTCAGCCTCATTGTTTAGTTGTGGTCCTCTAAGCATTCAAGCAGTGAAAATGTCTTCATCAAAATGTCACTGTAACTGGTGGATTGGGTCAGTGGAAGTAGCATCAGTCTACCTCCTAATCCTTCCAAATGGAAATGTACTTGAGTACTGGAGTATTTTCCCATTGCTGTGTCGGTCCTTTTACTCCAGTAAAGTATTAGAGTACTTCTTCTGACTGACATCAAATGGTCTTCACTCTCAAGAGGCCATCAGTGACTGGTTACTGTATGATGAGCAACCAATCAGAGCTGCAGACAGTGATGAAAAGCAACTGATGAGAAGTAGATTCACTTTACTGAAGTATTAATTTGAGATATTGTACTTTACCTGAGTTTCATGTTACTTTACTGTATACTACTGCACTACATTAATCTGACAGCTGGAGTCAGAGTCAGCTGCAGATAAACATATGATCATCTTATAAAATATTATACACAGAGTACCTTTGCTGTCATACAGTAACTACATGACGCACTTTTACTGTCGTACTGTAACTACATGAAGTACGTTTAATGTCATACTGTTGTTAGGCCTGTTTAATTGTTTATCAATTTAACATCTATCATTGATTATGAAAATATTAATATTAAAATATTATTACATAATAACTTTAAATGAGTAAAATCCTTGGGGGCAACAGCCTAAAATAGGCAAGGATAGCCAATATTGATTCAGTCTCAAATTATTATTTCTAATCTGTAACTGATAAATAATTAACTTAATAACTATAACCAAATTACCATATCAACAGTATGTAAATGTTGAAGGATCGAAGTTTTACTGAGTAGAGATTGACAATACTCACGCTTGTGCAACATTAAACACACCAGTAGTTATACTTAAAGACATTTATTTACAATGTAACAAATAAAACCATACAATGTCTAATCTAAAGTATATACAGGGGTGTGTGTGTGTGTGTGTGTGTGTGTGTCGAGCGCGTGTGTGTTTGGGGGAGTGTCTGTGGGGACACAGAAAAAGGCAAAATGGCTGATTCAAAGTGGTCACTGTGACCACATGGCCTTAAAAGGGAAGACTACCACAAATAATAAATAAACAACGCAATAAACAAAGAAACTACTCAACATCTAGTGTGTGGGGGAGAAAAGGTGTGAGTTTCTTTGTTAGCCTAGCTCATGTAATCTAAAGGTACCAGGTTAGAGGGAGGAGGTTAGCTTCATGCAGGTTCTAGAACTGAGACGTACTACTATGTGTTTGAACATATGAGTACCCGATTAACTGTGTGACTGACCACAAACTAAGCAAACATTTCAACAACAAAACATTAACCGACATGTACATTAACAAAGCTTAAGAGTTCTACTATTTAGCTGTGCTATGCTGTGCTAGGTTAGGTTACGCTCTGTCAGTTAACGCTACCCAGTCCTTGGAACAAAAGAAAAAGGTCCTTTCCAGTGTTGTTGTAAAGTCCAATGGGTTTGCGTGCTTCCTAGAGGAGTGAAGTCCTGTCTGGCTGTGTGGCCTCGGTGTTGCAGAGGAGGCCGCTGGTTTCCTCTTTGTTCTTCTCAGAGTTAACTATCCCTTGCTAACTGCTGATTCTGAAGAGAACTTGGTTCACTCTCAGTAAATCTTAAACAGGTCACTGGTTTTGAGGAGAAGACTATTGCAGTCTGCTGGGGGCAGGCCTGCAAGGAAGCTGTTGTCTCAGGTAGCAGGGCTGACCTGCGCTGGGAGCCTTGTTGCTCCTTGACAAGCCCAGAGGGAAGAGAGGAGCTGGCTCCTGAGCAAGCCGAGGAGAGAAGAGAGGGCGAACAAAGACGGGGATCTGGTTTTGTCTGGTGACATCCTGGGGGGTCACATATCACACACTGACCAATACTCACTGGTCTGAAGGTCCCTGGGGTAGACTCGTCCCCAGGTGTGAACAGTGAGGAATTGTGGGGAGGTGAGTTCTATTGTCTGTGGAACAAACGAACATGTGGTCTCCACTATCTTGAATGTACTGAGTCCCAACATACATGAAGTACTTTAACTGTAATACTTTAAGTACATGACGTATTTTTACTGTGATACTGTAACTACATGAAGTTCTTCTACTGTCATACTGTAACTACATTAAGTACTTTTATTGTCATACTGTAACTACATGAAGTACTTTTATAGCAGATAGATAGATAGATAGATAGATAGATAGATAGATAGATAGATAGATAGATAGATAGATAGATAATTGTCATCACCAATAACAGAGACAGGGGAGAGTACAGAGACAATATACTGCAGCATAGAGAAGAGAAGAATGACACTAGACAGGAAGAGGAGGTGAGAGGAAGCAGTGGCACTGCTGAGGCGGATACAGTGTGTTCTCATGGCGACAGAAGGTGCAGTCGACCTGCTGTGTTTGCAGTAAAATAGGAGTTGATCAATCAGCTGGTCAGACAGGATGTCTGCTGCAGGTTAAGGTTTGAATCAGCAGTGCAGTGTCCGTTCAAAACCAACAGGCTATCTCATTAATATTTAAATATTACATGCAATCATCTGATCATCATCATCTAATTACCACATTATTGCTGTGCTATTATATTATTATTAACCCTATTTACCAGATACCTGATCAGAAATGACTGGGGCATAAATTAAAAAAGATTGCTGTGACACATAAACTCACTGACCATTAGGTACAACTAGATTAAGCTAATGCAGTATAATACACCATACCTGTCATAGGGGGTTGTCACGTGATACTGTTATTGCATCTTCCACTGTGGATGCTTTTTAATAAATAACTCAAATACACTTCAGTCTTCATACTCGCTGTTTTTATGAGCAGAGTCTTGTCATTTCAGCTGGGACATGTGCTCACTGTTGTCACTCATAAAAGGAAATGAATATTGAATGTATTCTCATCTGATAATATTGTTATTGTTTTGCTGCAGATGTGATTCAAATGAACCACCTGAAAGATGGAGGGAGAGCAGAAGGATGAGGGTGAACAAGACCAGATATGAGCTTTTAATATTTTGAGGCCAAGTTCTTATTGCTTGTTTGTTATTACTAAGAGTCAGTCAAAAACATAGACACATACACAAACGCATTGTTGTCAGTGTTATAGTATACGTACATTGTGCATGTTGTCCTGTGAGTGCTGAGTGTCTGAATGACAAAGAGACAAACCCTTCCTCAGAGTTGTTATGTCCCATCCATTAGCCTGAGGGACAGACACAGAGAGAGAGAGAGAGAGAGAGAGAGAGAGAGATACACACACACAGACATCACCCTGAATTTACTGTAAGTGAACACAGGGAAATGATGGAAGATGGAGAAGGAGGCAGTGGTAGGACTTACTGCTACTGGGAAATCAAACATGCTGCAGTTCCTGGACTTTTTTGTAAAGCTAGATTTAAACATTTGATGAGTTTCAGTTATTTTTTATTGACAAAAAAATGTACCTAATGTTTTTTTATTACAAGCACAGTGTCAGACTGTGAAAACCTCTGTTTCATCCCATTTATTAAAAATCCCTACAGAGTATACAGAGCGCAATACTGTGTCAACACTTTCCACAGTCTGTGGAGTCTGCAGTAGAGGCCTGCAGCCAAAATAAGTCAAGCACATTGATGTGGTTTGTAGTGTGTAAAGTGATGACAGCGTCAAGTTACCTGTGATAGCAGCTGCTTGTTTTCATCCTCGAGCGTCCTCACTTTGTTCTCCAGCTGTCTGATGTAGCTGGCTGATGCGTCTGGACGAGAAACAAAAGAAAACGTCACATCTGATGACATCTGATGACATCTTGGTCTGAGCAGATGTCAATACAAGTATAGCCAAGTACATAATATTAGGGCATTCTTCTTCATGATTGGACATGAGCACACGATGAGCAGTGTGGAACCTTATCCTAAAGCAGCCAGCTGCCACATGAGGCAGCTTAGTTAGTCTCCACATGAGGCTGAGAGGCCCGTTGTTGATTTTCCCAAACAGATTCTAGTTAAGTCAACTCATCCTAATATTGCATTGTTATACCCACTGATTCCCAAACACATACAGTGGCAAGAAAAAGTATGTGAACCTTTTGGAATGTCATGGTTTTCTGAATAAATTTGTCATAAAATCTGATCTTCATCTAAGGCAAGGGTATTGACAAATATAATGTGTCTAAAATAATAACACAAGAAAAAATCTGATCTTTCATGTCTTTATTGAACACACTCATTCAACATTCAAAATGGCAGTGGAAAAAGTAAGTGAACCCTTAGAATTAATAACTGGTTGACCCCCCCCCCCCCTTAGCAGCAATAACCTCAACAAGGCGCTTTGTAGCTCTGGATCAGAACTGCACATCGTTGGAGGAATTTTTGCCCATTCTTCCTGCAGAAACTGCTTAAGCTCTGCCATATTCTTGGACGTCTCATGTGTGTGGCTCTCTTCAAGTCAATCCATAGCATTTCTATTGGGTTGAGGTCTGGGCTCTGACTTGGCCACTGCAAAAGGCGGATTTTGTTTTTTCTGGAACCATTCTGTTGTGGACTTGCTCGGTTGTTTTGGGTCGTTGTCCTGTTGCATCACCCACCTTTCTAGAGAGTTTCAGCTGATGTACAGACATTCTCAGATTATCCTGTAGAATTCTCTGATAAACTTGGGAATTCATCTTCCCCTCAGTGATTGCAAGCTGGCCAGGCCCTGATGCAGCAAAGCAGGCCCAAATCATGAGGTTTCCCTCCACCATACTTTATGGTTGGGATGATGTTTTCATGACATATGCCATGCCCTTTCTACGCCAGATGTAGTGCTGGGTGTTTTTTCGCAAATAGTTCAATCTTAGAATCATAGTCCACAAAACATTTTGCCAATACCGCTGTGGAGTGTCAATGTGCTCTTTTTGCAAAACTTCAGGCGTGCAGCAATGTCCTTTTTAGTAAGCAGTGGCTTCCTTCGTGGTGTATCCTGCGTAGATACCCTGCTTGTTCAATGTTTTACGTATTGTAGACTCATGAACAGAGATGTTAGCCAGTTCCAATGATGCCTTCAAATCTTTGGTGTCATTCGGGGTTGTTTCTTTACCTCACTGATGAGTCTTCGTTGTGTCTCTTGGTGTCATTTTGACTGGGCGTCCACTTCTTGGTAGAGTAGCAACAGTCCCAAAGTGTCTCCATTTGTAGATTGTTTGCCTATCTGTAGACTGGTGAATTTCTAAAGTCTTTGAAATCACTTTGTAACCCTTGCCAGCTTTATGTAAATCAACAATTCTTGATCGTAGATCCTCTGAAAGCTCTTTTTGGCGAGGCATGGCTCACATAAACGTGTTCTTCTTTTGTAAAACAAACTCCAAAGGTTTGAGGGGTTTTTATCAGTCAAAGTAGCTTTAGTCCACACCCCCAAACTCATTGTCTTAACGAGACTCCAGGTATGCTAAAACCTGACACCAATTAGCTTTTTTGAGGTCATTAATTCAAGGGTTCACATACTTTTTCCACAAGCACTATGAGGATTTTTTGGTTATTCTCAATAAAGACATGAAAGATCTTTTTTTTTTGTGGTATTATTTAAGACACATTATATTTGTCAATACCCTTGACTTAGATGAATATCAGATCACATTTTATGACAAATTTACTCAGAAAACCATGAAATTCCAAAAGGTTCACATACTTTTTCTTGCCACTGTATGTGAATTTACGAGCTGCTTTCAGAGCACTATCATTGACGGCAGTTTGAGCTGTGGACATGCAATACAGTACACAGACAGGCTGCAGTTTGTTTAAAGGTCCATATAGTCTAAAGGTAGATGTCCATGTGTTGTTTGATTATAAAGCAGGTCTATGTTCTATATTAATACTGTGAAAGTATTAAAGCCTCAGTCTGCAAAGAAATGCACACAGCCAGTATTCAGAAACTGAGCCTTAAAACCAGCCGTCAGGACTTCTGGAACTTTGTGATGTCACAACAAACACTCACTGCTCTCAGTCACGCCCCAAGCCCCGTTACTTAAACAACGTGACTAACACCAGGAACTGCTAGTGCATTCTGAGTGTATTGTATTTCTTGTATTCATTTATTTGTTTTTATAGTGAATCTTTCTTAAGGTCAGCAAATGCTCAAAAGACCTGAGTTTGGAAATTCTTAACTAGCAGCAGGCCTCCAATATAACAAGTTTCTTAACATGGCTTGTTCATTAGACAGAGCCAACCAGTCTAGGATTATTTTAACTTTTATATCAATAAAGTTGTGAAAATTAAGGTGCTGGAGTCAAAAACAGCTAAGCTGACTGGAAGACAGGTCACCCAAAACCTGATGTGAACTTGTGAGTCATGTCATTGCACCCTTAGACTGGTCAGTGACAGACCAGCCAGAGAAACAGGATCAGCCCACTGTCAGAGCAAGACAGTCTCAGGTCCTCAAACATAAGGACATGAGGACACTTAACAACATTCTCCAGTCCTTTGCACTAACCTCAACCATTGCAACTCCAACCCATACCTAACCTTAACCAAAACCTGATCCCTAAAACCAAGTCCAGACCCTCAATCAACCCTTTTGTTGTGAGTTGTGAGGCCCAACCAAACTGTCCTCACTTTCAAGGTCTAAAACAAAAACAGCTCCTCTCATCAAAGATAGCCATGCATACACTTGTTAATAATTTTAGTGAGCTGTAGAAGGTTATTATGACAGCAGCTAATGAGGATGTCAGGTGACGCTATATAAAGAGAAATAGAGTCCACATTAGGAGGACATTGGTGTGGATGGATGGATGGATCAACAGGACACAGGACTTTGACACACTGTTTGTTTCCCATTAGAAACCGACTGTCAGCGTTGTTTCATTTAACCACTCTACAACTTGTGTTTATTATTGTTGCCATGACAATGCAGATCCGGTACACCAGAAATGACCTTCACCCCAACTTCTTCCGATACCAAACAAAACCTCTCCAGGCAACATCCTCCAGACAGCAAATATGTCTTTGAAAATGTAATTAGCAAAACAAATTATTGAACTAGTTGGAGGTGGGAGAGTGACCTTTGACTTATGCCTCAGAGGGGGGAGTTATAGTCATACAACTTTGAGAAAATTAATGTGTTTGATTTTGGAGATGGATCTTATTTAGAGGAAGCATGACTGGACAACTTTTTTGATGTGGTGATCAAAGGTCAGGTTAGAATCAAACAGTATTTGTGGCGATTGGTTGAACAGACCAGGGACCAAGGGCATTCTGAAAGGAACTGATGGGGTTTGGTAGATTAAACAGTATAATTTCTGATTTTGAACTGCTGAGTTGTAGGAAATTTTGTGCCATCCAACATTTAATGTTGCTGAGACAGTCTGAAACAGCAGCTAGGCTTTCTGGGCCACCAGGTCTTAGCGGAAGATATATGTGTGTGTGTATATATATCAAGACTGTGTTAGTGGAAATGTGTATCACTGAAGTTATATGTCTATGTCTATGATACACAGTGATACACACACTCTGTCAGGCTGTTTGTCACTTTGTCCATGCAAAGAATCAGTAGATAGAAACTGTCACATCGAACCAGTAGAACCCGTGACATTGTTTCCTGAGAGATAATTTGTTAACAGGAAGACAGCTGTCTACACTTCAACTGGACACAAGATAAAGACACTGGACAGTGTTGACCTCAGGGCAAGTCTATCTCTCTCACACACACACACAGACGGACATACACATACACACAAAGGGAGACAGTGCTGACAAAATGAGAAGGGTCCGTCTGCAAACTGCAAGAGAGGGGCATTACTGTAAACAAGGGGCATAACTACGAGATGTCAAAACGTGATGTTGGTAAAATGGCAGATCGAGTGAAGACAATGGCAGATGGACACAAGAAAATGTCTGTTTTACCCAGTTTTACTGTCATAAGCTATCATTCGCCATCCCATCCATCCATATTCATAGTCTCATCCACAGGTTGGTGCTATTGTCAGTGTCGCAGCCTGGTGCTGCTGTGCGTAGACCCCTTTCAAACTGGACCAGGACGCACAGCTGTATGATGTAATAGACCACCAAAAGTGGTCTCAGACTTATGGACCCTACTGTACATATATATCTATATTTATATAGAGTTTTAAACATAAAGCATTTACTGCTTGGTATGCCAAAATGTCTTTATATACAACAACACTAGGTACAAACCTTGTGCATGGCTGGACTGTGTATGGCAGTGAACTGTGGACTTAGGGCCAAATCATTTTGAGCTATGGCAATTGGGAAAAGTCCAACACTTGGGCGACCAATGGTGTAACTTGATCACTCAGTCAGATGGCATACACCTGACCAATGGTTTAACTTGATCACTCACTCAGTCATTGACATTAATGTTTATATGGCTGGCCCCACAATACAAAAATGTGACTGATAGGTGAAACAATTAATTTTATAGAGAAAAAGCAACAGCTAACATCTGACCCGGTCCACTTAACATGTCAGCACTACAGCTGACACTGATCCAGCAGAGTGAGTGGAACTCGTACTGTCATGTGGTTTGCTATGGCAGACACCTTTTGTTAGTTTTGTTTGGACTTTTCGCACTTCCTGTTTTATTTTGTAATTGGTTTCTTTGTGTGTCAGTGTTTTTGCTTCCTGTCTTGGTCCTGTTTCTGTGTGGTGATTGTCTGCCCCGCCCTAATGTGTTTCACCTGTGTGCAATTACCCTTGCCTCCCTTGTCTGTCTATATAGTCTTTGTGCTCCCCTTTGTCTGGGTCGGTTCGTCTGTTTATCTCTGGG